ACTAACGAACGGAGACGTAACACAGTATTCGAGTGTAGGACATTCTAATCTGTATGAATATATTGACACCAATGAGTTATATTTTGTGTTTTTTATAGTTTCATATGTCTGTCAGTCTCACCTCCCCCTCCCCCCACAACTTTATTATTTATTTGGTAAGTCTAGTGACTGTAGTGGTCAAACACTTGTTATTCCTTGTCTCCACTGTAGTTCCTTTCTTTACATATTATATCGCCGATTCGATAAATTTCCCCAAAAGTAACTTGATTATAAGATTGCAGTTACGTTCGTCCGATTATAACTAACTAGCAAATTTGATTATAAATGTGTTTGTTTTCAGTAAGTGGTCTGCTGCGAAACTTCTAAACGGTAATGTATATACGTCTGTCGTATATTTGTATGTGTGTGTTAGTATCAATAATCATCATCTGGGTTCAGAATTTTTGTATCATTTTTGCAAATTAGATTTATGTTTATCTCTTGACTATTTGTTATGCAATAAGCCGGTAGGTAGCTTCTACAGTGTTCTAGTAACATACCATATAATGTCCTGGCTTATTGCCACAGCATGAAATGCATAAAATTTTAAATATAGTATTACATTAGACATGAAAATTAGGAATACGAGCTTAATAGATGCAAGTAAAAAAAATTTAGTAACGGTCAGAATAAAGATGCGAATAAAAAAACGTACGAAAATGAGCATGCAGATGATTAAAAAAATTGTAAAATATAATGCTTTTTTTTGTAATTAGACGTTCTGAACAAAATGGAAAAGTAAATGCCCTTCGCAACAGAGCGTAGAAATTTCTCAAAACAGTGAAATTAAGAGCAGATTTTATAATAGCTGTTGTATGTAAGCCAGCCCTATTGTGTCTCAAATTGCAGAGCAGTGTAAATCATGTTGAGATTACATAATGCATTTGACATCACTAGGTGGCGCATTTGTTGATGTACACAACGTTGCTGTATACTAGAAATAGGATTGTGTATTGAGCCATTAGATACCAGTGTTTGCTTACTCTGTATCATACAGCTGTGTTTTCAAACGGTGTAAAGGAAGCGATGGTTCGTATAAGTGAAATACCAGATAATGTAGTAAATACGAGAACGACTGATGAAGACAACTTTGAAACAATTAGTGTATGGTGGCTATTAGAAGTATTGGCCGTGCTGTTTTTAGCAGGTTTTCTGTGGATAATTTTGGAAAGTCGCTTCGAAATTCGTGTCTAGCTTCTAAAATAATAATGTACGCAAAGTTGTCGACTACTTGCTGTACAAACGGTTTATTAGGTTTCTGACTACGTATATGCTTATCAAATATTTTTTTATGGGAGACCAAATTTGTTATGAAGCTGCATAAGTTTCCACAAAATGTGCAACGTGTTTGAAATAGCTTTCGTGTAAATCGCGAAAGGAACAAAAAAGTGCAAGTTTTATTTATTTTTTACGAAAAGAAAATATTAGACACGACTACCGATCAATAGCCACGCATGTCTGCCAGCCTTCTTAGACTCCACCAATACAGGTTGCTGAGATTAGGATGAAACGTGCTGACTGCAAATTACTCTAGAAGAAAGAAGTTAGTCTTCAAAACATGAAGAAGAAGAAACGTAGACTGAATAAGACTCAGCTTAGACAGGTAAGTTTCCGTAGAATAAGTCAAATCGTTTAGCAATTAGCCAATAAAGTAGAAGAAAAAAAACAGCCGGTAGTGAAATTAAAATTACCACTAGCTTTTTTTCAAAACGAACCCAATTCTTAAATTTCTCATTTTCGAGTTATAGCGTGACACACATCGGCATTCGGACACTTCGACTGAAACAGTACTCCACGCAGCTTTGAGATTATTGTCTGGAATATTCTGGTAGTTTTAACGAATGCCTGGGAGTATTAGTGACTTTTTTCTCTAGTCTAGTGGAATTCTGCTTATAGAACAGCCACTGAGCTGCCTATTAATTACACTTGCATGAAAGCTGACATAAACTCAATTGTTAAAGAAGGAAAAATACACAAGTAACCATGACTTCCAAACTTTGTGAAATTAGTCCCATTCCTTGCTTGATTTATATTTTCAATTTTTCTCCAAGAAATATTTTAAATATTCTTTTAACTTTTTAATTGAAAAGAAACGTTGACAAGTCCGTAGAGAACGTTTTATGTGAAGTACAACGTGATATTTCTAAATATATATATATTTCGCTTGGTTTGTATAGTGTTGATACTGTTACGCCTTGCATAATGTCCTGTCACACCACAGAGCTTCTGTACAACTGTATAATTTCTTTCCGAAGAAACTTTAGCGATACAAGTCCTTTCTTAAATAAAACTGGTTTATTCTTTCTAAATATAACTTTGCAATACACTTAATTTCCACAGTCGCGCTATAACAAATGCTATAATCCACAACGAACGTCTCATGTGCTCGCTCAACAATTAGTCTTTCTCTGTCCGCAGTTCAATTACACATTGTTGCCGTCACTTCTTGGAGGCTTATATACAAGAATACCGCATATCTAGTAACCTCTCGAGATTTCATGAACGTTCTAGAAGCGCATGACGTGTTACTAGCGTCACGTGACCTCCGCTGTCGTAACAATACGTTTTCCTTCTTTATAAAGACAAGTCATTAAGCCTGGTGCTGAAGTTCACTATGATAAGATATTATAGTAACATACAGAGCACATATCATAGTACTGAAGTTCCCAGTGATCTGATATGACAATAACATACAAAACACGAAATGTGATATTGCTCTAAATTATGTTTTAACACAGCTTGTATAGAAAATACATTGTGGCCTAATTTGAAATTACCCTCACGAAATGGACACTTGTAAAAACTTTTGAATATGTAGAGACTTAACTTTTAACAATTTAAAACTCCATATCCCATGGAAAACTCGGCCTTCTCAAAATTTGAAGATGCAAGGTAGTACGTAAGGAAAAGGCAAGGCATGGTGGAAGAACTAGCGTTTAGTGCATCCATATTGCTCTGTGTCACATGAAAGTGCTCAATAAAGTTTCCTGGATTGGTGCTAGTTTCAATAACATTTAGTTTTTCTAACCTTACATGTGATATCTTTCTTTTGTGGTTGTAATACATGTTCAGTGCAGTTTATTACTTGACTTTTGAGGCAGAGGCAATTTGTAGATTGTTGGAACCGTTTTTGGTGGTGAATCAGCCCAGGTGAACTTCAGGCCTGGAATAGTGTACATGGTGCAAGGGAGAAACCTTCTTCAGGGTTAGCCTAGGAGATGCATATCCATCGAATTTACAAAATAGTAGCTCCTCATTTCTGAGAGGTATTCGTATTTCTCACGACCATACATTGAGTCTGTTAATGGAGGGATTGAAAATGGGAAAAAGTTGGATAAAATCCAACTCAAAAATCCTTGCACTGAAGATAACTTTAGCTTGTTTCTGCATTGCATAATGCATTCTATTCAATGATAATTAACTCACAGAAGAAAAAGCAAAGTTTTATACAAAAATTGGGATCACTTTTATCCCAATTAAATGAGCAATCTAGTAAAAGCACAAGTCTGAAACTTTGAACAATAATTATCCAAGCAAGTGTAGCTTGGTTTCTAGACAGAAAGCATGTTACATGTATTGTTACATCAATACAGCAGAGGGTGGCAACATACTAAACAGAGCTACTCTGACTTTCACAGATGCTGGCACTAGATGGTTTCACTGCAAAATTGCAGCCTCGTGCTTCATAGGCCATGCTGGCTGACAACTTCTACAGCAGGTTTATCCCTAAAATACTAATGTTAGATTCTAGGTCAAAGAAAGAGAGAGAGAATGTGCAATAGCAAGATGAAGCTGTGATTCTCCACTTACCTTGAGCTTATCTCCACTATAACAAAGTACTGACAGGTAGAGTGGCTTCACTTGGAGTACATAATATATCAAACGAAGAAGGTTTTTGTCGGAAGTTCAGAGAAGTCAAACCTGACACTGGAGAAACTGTATTTCAGTTTGTGGCACATCTGCAATGATAGTTCATAAGGTGGACTGACATGGCCAAGTGTGAAAATAGTTTTGAAGGACTGGCAGATCTACTAATATGTGAACAATTCATGATGATGTGCTTCACGAACATGTCACTGTTCCTAAAAGAGAGAGCACCAAAAGACGTGTACAAGATGATCAAACTGTCAAAACAATACATGGAAGCCCATGGAGAGAGTATAACTGGCGAGTCCAAGAATAAGCAATCAAAGTCGAAAGCAGGGGTGGTTGACCAGAAGGAGGATACCACCAAAAGTGACAGGAAGTCAACAGACAAAAGGAAGAAGAGATGCTATGCTATTTAGAAAATGGGGCACCTTGCAGGTGAATGCAAGTCTCTCACCAACAAAAAATGACAGAAATCTCAACATAAAGCAGCTGAAGCTATCTATAAAGATGGTGCTGGCAAGAAACAAGAAAAGAACGACTGTGACTATGAATGCTGTTGCCTGAAAAACAGAATAGAGACAATTTGTCAGATTCACCACAAAAAGGAAGATTAAACAGTGCACAACTGATGGTCAGCTGTAGTTAGTGAATGGGTCAACAGTGCTAGTGGTGATTGGAGCATGTGAAAAACATCGAGAGGTGCCAAGAAACCACAACTTGCCAGTAGGTGAAGGCTATGTCAGGGACAAGAAAGTGAAATCCTACAAAACACTGGGTGTAGCAGTGCAACAGCGAGAATCAGTACAGTATATGATGACAGATGACAGAAAAGGTACATCTGTGTGTGCTGATTGATTGGACAATGAGAAAATTTCCCATATCAAAAATATAAGTGGACATCCTGAATGTAGGTCCATAGGAACTGAAGGCACAAAAGATAGACTCTTTATTGCAGAAACTTTATGACAGAAAAGGTACATCTGTGTGTGCTGATTGATTGGACAATGAGAAAATTTCCCATATCAAAAATATAAGTGGACATCCTGAATGTAGGTCCATAGGAACTGAAGGCACAAAAGATATACTCTTTATTGCAGAAACTTTGAGACAGTGCCCAAGCTAAAATCGAGCACAAGTCAAAGGAGGAAGGGAGTTACAGAATAGAGGATTGGGGGACATGCTATGCCAGATCTATCAAGGCAGTTGTGCTGGGGAAGTTAAACAGAGCATAGCACCAACAGAATACTGGACTTAAGTGATGAAGTTGCTAACAAGTCGATTGAGGGAGGACACCTAGGAGTGAAGAAGATGGCAGACAGAAATCACCCACCAGCAACTTCCATTGAACGGGGGTCATATGGGAGGCATCTCACCTAGTGACACCTTGGCTACCTTTCCTCAAGGTACTGTTCTTTGTCAGATATCACAAAGAACCTAGTCATATCTCCTAGTGGTCTGATCAAGTCCACAGCCACTCTGCTAAATGGCTCTTCTATGAGAGGCATCTCACCTAGTGGCACTTTGGCTACCTTTCCTCAAGGTACTGTTCTTTGTCAGATATCACAAAGAACCTAGTCATATCTCCGAGAAGAGCCATTTAGCAGAGTGGTTGTGGACTTGATCAGACCACTAGCATCTGTACCTGACAAGAGCAACTGGTGTGTACTGACAGTAGTCAACTATGTGAGCCTTTATCCAGAAGTCATATCACTACCAAAGATAGAGACAGTGAGAGTAGTAGAAGCCCTCCTGGAAGTATACTGCCAGTTTAGCTCAGAATTGATTCAATAGGTATTCAGACTCATCAGCACTAAGTAGCTTTTTACCACCCCACACAACCTCAGGTGTAATGGACTTTGTGTGTGGGTAAATGGAGTGTTAAAGAGCATGCTGAAGAAGATGTGCCAGGAGAGACCACATGACTGGGACGGGTACCTCTAGTCAGTACTATTTCCTTTCTGAGAAGTCCCACAAGTGAGTACAGGATTTTCACCCTTTGAGTTATTGTATGTACAAATATCTCAACATCAGTGAAGAACTGACTGGTAAGCAGAAGAAAGAGCTAGAAGATCTACTGTGCCAGTACACAAATGTCTTCACAAATAGAACAGGCAAGACAGACCTTGTGCAACACAAGATCGAACCATGTCAAGGTAAAGCCCTACCAGATGCCCTATGCAATGAGAGACATGATGAAGCAAGATGACTAGGTAATGGTGGAAGCTGTAATCACTGAACCTTCGAATCAGCCTACTGCTCACTGTCAACAAACCTAGACAGGGACAAGTTATTTTCTAAGATCGACCCCAGTAGAGGTTATTGGCAGATCCCTATGGAGACAGGATCTGAAGAGAGGACAGCCTTTGTGACACCAGGTGGATACGACCAGTTCAAGAGGATGCCCTTTGGGTTAGTCAACTCAGCAATAACATTCAACCACATGATGAGTAAGATGTTGCACAGAACCATCAACATTGAGCATCATGTGAACAACATTCTAACCCACACAGCTATATGTGAAGACCACCTGAAAAAACTCAGAGAGCTGTTTGTGTGAGTGAGGGCAGCAGGTCTGACCATCTAAGTGTTATATTGGCTATTCTGTGCTGGACTTTGTTGGACACGAGATGGGCAAATAACATACAGCCATGGAAGAGAAGCTAACCCACATACAAGATGCACCAGCTCTGATGACCAAGCATCAAGTCAGATATTTCCTGATGTCAGTGGGATACTATAAGTAGTTCATCACAAAGTATGCTGAAGTCTCTGCATCACTGACTGACCTGACCAAGAATGGCCAACCCAACAAGGTGAAGTTGGAAAAACTAAAGCTGATGGCATTCCAGAAGTTGAAGGACATGTTAGGAAATTCGCCAATCCTTAGAATGCCAGATTTCAACAAACCGTTCAATGTTCAGACTGATGCATCAGACATCAGAATTGGAGCAGTACTTATGCAAGAGCATGTAGACAGATTGTTTCCTGTAATGTATGTCAGTAAAAAGCTGTTCAGTAGTGAGAAAACTACTCTGGGATTGAATGACAGTGTTTGTCCATTATATTTGCCATCTGGAAATTCTAAAAATTCTAGAGGTGTAAAATCGACATTGCGAGGAGCAAGAGGTGTGTGTTGCTTATCACAGGTTTGTTTATGTAACTCTGTACGAATCATATGTTGTGTAGTTTAATTGTTGTGAATTGGTGCTTGTTGTATTATTACACCATGTTACTAGAACCTTTTAAGTTTTCTTGTTGTTTTAATTGAATATTATTGCATTACAATATCTCGTAGTGTATGGAACATTCTGGGCCTTGGTCAGGCTATAGATATGTGTTCAAAATGTAGTTCGAGTTAGTTATATAGATCTAGACTGCATGATTGTGAGTTTAGCCATAAAGAGCGTATAGTGGCGATTTTTTAAAGTGAACTTGTCACAGATTGTATTGTAATAACAGAGTAGAGATGAGTAACTTGTCTCGTCAATTCTGTTCTAAAGCAATTGAACCAGCCTGTGTGGACTTTGATGAAAAAGAGACAATTATTTAAAGCTATGGATACAACTGTGATAACCAACAGTGTAACGAGCATTTTTATATATGTTTGACTCTCGTTTGTGTCCATATGTTGCGTCACTTTGTTAACTTTATGTGTCTACCTGTTACAACACTCAGCATAAAAGATTGACCAAAATAATTTGAACTCGCTCATGTAAAGTTCTTTAGGAACCGCAGAAGTGAAATTGATGGGATAAACTGCAATATTAATGCTATATTTGTTTACATGGTTTGTGAATCATATGTTATTGCATGGATTCACGAACAATTCAGTGCATAAATCAATTAGAGAAGCATTGGTAATTCTTGGGTTAACACTTAATTTGACATTACCTTCAGTAACACTTGGTTATACTCAGTTCAGTTTAAGGCCATCAAAAAATACAACTGAAATACATTACACGAATTTTCCAACATAAACGCCATATAGTAAAAGAAACATTTAACCAAAACGCAATAGTTCTGTGTCTTAAAACCATTCAGAGGTTTATGATAGCCTTTAAACTTACTTAAACTTGGGTCAAACATTACAGTCCAACTTAGAACAAACTGTAGGTCTCTAGCTACACTGGTGAAATCTTTAAAAAACTGTAGATCACTATATACCTTTGTGAGATCTATAAACATTAATAGATCTCTATCTAGATTGGTGACCCCTATAAAAAAAATGTAGATTTCTAGGTACACTAGTAAGATTTATTAAATAATATAGTTATATAACTATACTGGTGAGACCTCTAACAAACGTAAACTGGGTCAACTTGCGAGATATATAAAAAAGCTGTAGGTATCTAGTTAGACTGGTGAAATCGTTAAAAACTGTAGATTTCTAGATACACTAGTGAGGTCTATAAAAAAGAGTAGATCCTTATTAAGATTTCTGACATCTACGAAATACTGTAGATTTCTAGGTACGCTGGTAAGATCTATGAAATAATATAGTTATCTACTAGACTGTTGAGATCTATAAAAAACAAAAAACATTGATCTTTAGATACAGTGGTGAGATTTTCAAAAAATGTAGATCTCTAGGTGCACTGGTAAGATCTATAAAACTGTAGATTTCTAAATGTACTCTTGAGATCTGTGAAGAATTGTTGATCTTTAGCTAGACTGGTGAGATATGTAATAAAAACTGTCAATCTCTAGGAACACTGGCAGAATATATAGAAGACTCTAAACCTCTAACTAGGTTGTTGAGATTTATAAAAAAAAACTAAATCTTTAGGTAGATGGGTGAGTTATTTTAAAAAACTGTAGATCTCATGGTACATTATAAAGATCTATACAAAAACTGTAGATCTCTTGGTACACTGGTAAGGTCTATACAAAAACGTATATATCTAAATACATAGATGCAGATCATGTAGGTCTGTAGGTACACTGGTAAGATTTATAAAAAAAAAGTGTAGCTCCATAACTAGATTGATAAGGCCTATAAATAACTTTAAATTGTCAGGTAAACTGGCATGATCTATAAATATTGTAGATCTCCAGCTAGACTAATGGGATTTATAAAAAAAAGCACAACAACTACAAATCTGTAGCTAGACTGGTGAAATATTTAGACAAACTGTGGATCTCTAAGATACACTGGTGAGATCTTTAAAAAATTATAGATCTATAGGTACACTGGTGAGATCTTTAAAAAATTATAGATCTATAGGTACACTGGTGAGATATATAAAAATTATAGAGCTCTAGGTACACTGGTGAGATATATAAAAATTATAGATCTATAGGTACACTGGTGAGATATATAAAAATTATAGATCTATAGGTACACTGGTGAGATATATAAAAAATTATAGATCTATAGGTACACTGGTGAGATATATAAAAATTATAGATCTCTAGGTATATTGATGAGATATGTAAAAAAAAGTGTAGATCTCTATCTGGACTGTTAAGATTCATAAAAAACCATTAATCTTTTGGTAGACTGATGACATGTTTAAAAACTGTAGATCTGTAGGTTCACTGGTAAGATCTTGAAAATAATGTAGGTTTCTAGCTAGGCTGATGAGGTCAATAAAATGTATAGTTCTCTAGCTACACTGTTGAGATCTTTAAAACAAACTGTAGATTTCTAGCTACACTGGTGAGATGTGTAAGAAACTGTATATCTCTAGGTGCACTGGCAAGATCTATAAAAAAAAAAAGTATAAATCTCTAGGTAGGCTGGTGAGATTTATAGAAAAACTGTAGATTGCTAGGTCCACTGCCAAGATTGATAAAACACTGTTAATCTTTAGCTGAATGGGTAAAGTCTATTAAAAAAACATAAATTTCTATGTAGACAAGTGAGGTTTATTAAAAACTGTAGAATGCTATGTACAAGATGTATAAAAGATCTCTAGCTAGACAGGTGAAATCTTTAAAAAAGTGTAAATCTCGAACTATATATCTGAGATCTGTAAAAGTTAGAGCTCTAGTAGATTGGTGAAAGTTATGAAAAATAATGCAAGTACCATCTATGAAAAAAATACAGATATCAACCTTGACTGACCAGACCTATAAAAATTGTAGATCTGCAACTACATTTATGAGTTTTAAGATATTTTAGTTAGTCATATGGGATTAAGTTGAAAACACAGTCCTAGTTAAATTATTAAGATCCAGATCAAGTATGTAAAATTTACATTTTTTAGTTCTGACACATTAGAAAATGTTCGTTTATAAAACATATATTATTAACTGTGATTTAGTAAAAAAATAACATTAATTAGTTATTGTGAATTGGTTAATCATTTTCAACACAATTTAATAACATAGTATGTTAAATGTATAATTTTCATTGCAATAATGTAATCTGTTATGGCTACCTACTATTTTTTAGAAAGGTAGGTATTTTGTTATGGGATAGAATAGGTTCAGAAGTTTCAGTGAAATAATTTGACTAATTATTTCTGATTAGGTTACTTTTAATATATCTACATTGTTATGAAGCATGCTGTACCTGTTGTGGCATGAACACTTTTCTTTACTTTATTTGCAAAGTTAATGTTTTGCTTTAAAGATTTGTACTTTTCTATGCATGCATAATGAAGGTTTTTTGATTGATTATGTTCTTTATTGGAAATACTCACAAGTAAGGATTTAATATAAGCTAGAACTAATTTTTATGTTTCACATTTAAGTTAGGCTAAGATAAATTCCTTGGATAGTTTTTTGCATGTTCATTAAGAATTACAAATATTTAATTGAGGATTCTAAAGCTCATAATCAATTATTCCAGCAAAGAATGTAGTTATATATTTTTATTGAAAAGAAAATCAAGTATAGACAAAGAAAATTTTAAACCAGTCGTGTTAAATAGATAAAAAATTGTACTTACAATGGGTTTTGAAACTGAAATATTGTATTAATAATTCTATTTCTAATTTTAGTTATTTATATTCTTAGTAGAAAGCACATGTTTTGGAATAATTAGAAAATTGAGCAGCAATGGGACAAGTCATAGCGATTGTTAAGTTTCTTTATTTTACTCAACTTACATAGAAGTCTGAAATTATAATGTGAACTAAATTTATTTGTAATTAATTATTTTATATTACTTTCCAGCAGGAAATATTCAACGATATTAAAGATACTATACAATTACAAACTTAGACGTACAAAAAGCACCGACTAGAGTAGAGAGCTTGACTCTGATTGTGTTGTGTTTAAACAAATTACAAAATAAACAAATTATATTGTGTGAATCCCACATTATCTTATTCATCAGAAAATTTTATATGAATTAGGTTGTACAGTGTCAAAATTAAGTTACCTACCAGAACAACCTAATACAAATTTGGCTCTGAAGGTTTAACTATATTTATTATGAAATCATAATGTGGATTAAATTGTTGATTATAAAATTTAATTTATTTATTAATAATCATTTATTTATATCAAAATGTGTAGATTTAACACAAGTTTTTCTACCTAGTTTGAATCATGGGATAGATGGTCGACATTAAATTATTCCTCAGGATATCCTGACATGTATGAGCATGGAATATTAAGTTTCCATGTTTCTGTGATTATAGGGTAATAAGTATATCACCTATGTTCTGATATTTCGTGAGAACAGCTCACTGTTATTGAATAAATATACTGAATGGTCTGCTTTTCCACAGTGCAAAGCCACTTTCGATTCTCTGATTTCCTTCCTCTGTCTTGCATGTGTCAGCTTTTGGTGTTCTCGCCTGTACCTTGTGTTCTATAATGCCCCGGTATACACCTCTGGTAAGCCGTTGTCTTCCTCTTGCTTATTTACATTTTATTTGATCGTATTTTAATAGCACTTTTAAGGTTTGTGGGAATGATTATCTCAGCTTTAATTTTAATTAATTTGTTTTTCTTGTTGTTGTTGTTTTTATGTTGTGTTTAAAATGTAATGTATAAATAATCATTTATCTAGTGAAGTAAATGATTAGCGTGGTAATTTTAGTGATCCCCAAACCTATACTTTTTTAAATACAAGCATTGCGAAAAACTATTATTTTACTTTAATTCTACTCAATGTGATGGTTAATCTCGTATAATAAAGTGCAATTGAGTGAAAAATCAAACCATTATATTTGATATTGTGAATAGCTTTACCATGGAAATGTTTTAACAATTAAAAACTAACATTTCAGCCCATAAAAGCGGGCCATCTTCAAACAATATTCAAACTGTAATTTTCTTCATCATTTGACTTTCAGTTTCACTGCTTTCAGCTTTTTACGAACCTGTTATTAAGCAGTTTCCAAAAGTTTCCATTTGATACTTCACTTTATTGTGTTTTATTATACCCAGAGCTAATTACATTAAAGTGAACAGTACATTTAGATGTGTTTTTATGGTATTTTATCTTTTATCCACTTAATACAGTGCAAGTTATGGTTTCCTATTCATATTTACAATTTTAATTTTGACATGAATAGATGATTTTGTGACACCATACTCATAAGTGAGCTTGTATCACAAGGCAAAAGTCATTGTTATTGAAGGCATTGTTCTGGGCTAAAATATATGTTATGTATGGTGAATGACGTTTAAAAGTTATAAAAAGTAAACTGCTCTTTATTGATAAAATTGTAAGACTTTCAAATTTGAGCATAGTGTCAAGTTTGATAAAGTGACAAGTGTGTAACGATAATGATGTTGTAAATTGGATAAAATGTTTTAGTTAGAAATGCTCATTGATATGATAACACTGGTATGAATTATGATAATCAGTTCCACGAAGACAAAAAACGGTGGGAATTTGGCATCAATGCAGAACAATAAGTGTTAGTTTGGGTTATTTACAGCTTTATTAACAAACCATATTATGATGATACTATAATTCATGTATACTACGCAAAGTAATGATTTTATGGAAGTAAACAATGTATACAGTGTACATCAGTAATGAATGTGAATTTTGAGAACAATGACTGTATTAAACAATGTAGAATGATTGTAACAGTGGATACCCTGTTAAGTATACAATGTTAATATTAGTGTAATATTTTACAGCAATAAATTAATCACAAGACTGCATCAATAATGATAGTGTCAAGTTTGATAACAATATTTTAGTTAAAAATGTGCTTCAATAATGATGGTGTGAACATTTATACCTTAGATGTAAACGTATATAGATAATACTAAAGTTGATATCAATAGTTTAAATACAGGTGTATATCGATAACGATGCTGTGATTTTTGATGAAAGTGGAAACTGTGTAAAATGTAATTTACATGAACATGGGTAATGTGACTTTTACAAAGTATACAATGATAATTCTGTATGTGCTGTTACTCAGTAATGAATACACACATACCTCTCTCGCATGGAATTTTTCAACTTAACTTTTCTAACTGAATACCAGTAAGCAATAACAGTAATAAATAACTATAATAAATAAACTAATTTCGAATTGTAATGCCATATTGAATATGTCCTTTTTGTATAAGCAACTGTTTTTTTCAAATTAAAAATACATTAATGGTCAAATGTTCCTCTCAAAATGGATCAAGGTTTATGGGTTTATTTAAATCTCGTCATTTTGTGAACCAATAATTTATGGTTGGCTTGGAAATTATAATATTTGTTTTGCATTATTTTTATTAATAAAGATTGTTTGTTTTAATCTAATCTTGGGATTTTTCTATGACAAAGGGTTCTGGGGATTCCACTTACAGTCAACCCTCTTCTGATTTGTCCCTTGATGAAGAACGTGAAGTTCTTCGAAGAGAGACTGAGAGACAGGCCCTAGCACAACTCGAGAAAGCCAAGGTTTGTAACTAAATAATAATAAATAAATTTATTTTCTTAGATTCATAATCATCTTCTTGCTTGACTGGTATGGTTGTTCAGTTTCACATTCATAACCAACCACCCTTTTTAAAATAATGAGGTAGGTCATAATGTCCTCTTTCCTTCACTGATTTGATAGGCCATGCGGCAAAGTTATATACAGACAGTTTGTTTGTGTCAATTCAGACAAACATTCCAAAAATGCGATCTGAAATACATTGTTCTCTATAGAAATTATAGCAACAACTTATTATACATTATAACAACTAAACTTTTATATTTCTACTTATATAGATAAAACTTTGTTTTTACAGTCTAAACCCGTAGCGTTTGCAGTTCGTACAAACCTCACTTACGATGGCACCCTAGACGATGACTCTCCCGTTCACGGCTGCGCAGTGTCGTTTGGTGTCAAGGAATTTTTACACATTAAAGAGGTGAAATATCGAACGTTTGCTATCAAGATATCTTGTTGTGTTCCGAATATAGCTGGTTTTGATTACCACCTCACATAAGTTGATTCAATGGTTGTATAGTGTACACGTGAAACGCTAGTGAGTGTAAAGTAAAATTTGTACATGTTGTTCTGCGTTCGTTATACATTGATAAATATGGCAGATACTATAGCTTCATAAGTGACTTTCCGAATATCGACATTCGTATCAGTAATTTATATTGTTATCTTCATATTTTAGTTTTTGCTTGAGTTACTAACAAACTATTGAGACTAAGGTAGAATATTTTTTCTGCATCGACAAAAGCTTTCAGTTGGTCACTTTTAATCACGTGTCTTTATGCATTTAAAATACAATGGTTCTATTTATTTTTCAGATTAAACACTAACAGTAAAATAAAAGTGAACTATAGAACAAGAACTTTAGAAGTGGAAATATGAAATGTAATTTCACTAGACGCGTATAACAAAAAACATATTGCAACGTTTAAAAAGTTACTCCAATATATAATGTAATATATTAGTAAACATTGTAAAATATCCGTTTATCTCAGTGTAGAGTTTTAAAAGTCTATTTTCAATTTTTTAGTTTAATCGTATCAGTGAATAGTTCAATAACTGCAACAACACTTCCGTCGGCGAAGTGTTGTTGTAGCCCTATGTTCCACTAGGAACGACGGGAACTAAGAAGAAGAAGAATAGTTCAATATATATACATTTCCATAACTCACATAACGTCAACCAAAAACCAAATGCTGGAAGATGTATATCTGATGGTTAAATATCGAGAGAGCACACGTTCAATGTAAAAACCGAATTCGTGTTCAAAATTAAAACTTCCATTTGGACCTTTTTAATAGCTTTGGATCTGTTTTCTGCTTCACTGACTTTGTTAAAAAATGGTAAATAACATAAAGATAATGCAAACCTTATTATTCCCTAAAAACATCAGATAATAAGCCCAAACTTTATTTGAAACTCAGTATGTAATACAGCTGTGAACATTGTGTGGGTATGGTTTGTTAAGCTTAATGTTTTCGTTCATCGTATGTTAGATTTATAACAACATAGTGTTTGAGGGCATGATATGTTATTTTTAAAGCAGTTTGGATATAATGTCGCTTAATGTGCGTATGTTATGATGTATTATTCTGAATACTACGTAATATGTATGGACATAGTGTATTATTCTGAATACTACGTAATGTGTATGGACATATGTATTGTTCTGAATACTTCGTCATATGTATGGACGTGATGTATTATTCTGAATACTACGTAATGTGTATGGACATATGTATGGACGTGATGTATTATTCTGAATATTACCTAATGTGTTTGGATATGGTATAATATTCTGAATACTGCGTATTGTGTATGGACGTAGTGTTTTATTCTGAATGTTACCCAGTATATGTGTACACGGTGTATTACCATGAATAATGCCAAATATGTGAATAGACATAGTGTATCAACTTAAATACTATGGAATGTTCGTGTGTGGACATGACGTATCGTCTTGAATACTACTAGAATATGTGTGTGGACATGACGTATCGTCTTGAATACTACTAGAATGTGTGTGTGGACATGACGTATCGTCTTGAATACTACTAGAATGTGTGTGTGGACATGACGTATCGTCTTGAATACTACTAGAATGTGTGTGTGTGTGAGTGTACATGATGTATAACCATGAATATTACCTAACGTTTCTTAACCTAACTTATTGTACTGATTTATAAGAGTGTTGTTTCGGCCCATTCCACTAAAATATGAAGCCTGATCTCTCTTCAGAAGTACAACAATGATTGGTGGATAGGCCGTCTGGTGAAAGAAGGTTGCGACATTGGCTTCATCCCAAGCCCTGTCAAGCTAGAAAATGTTAAGCTTCAGCAATCTCAGTCTCGTGCCGGTAAACTCCAGCTCAGGTATCAGCACATGAAGGAAAATAAAACTTCATATACGTATATTTCGTAAATTAGGTGATATTGTATTGTTCTCAGGTCAAAATTATATATTGTGCAATATATATAATTAAACTTTGAGATAACCTACAATTTCATTAAAAGTTTGTTACATGTGGCGTTACCTATATTTCTGTAGACTTACTATATTTGATAACTTAATATAGACTTATTAACTTTTACAAGGAAATGCAGAAAGCTCTGGGAAGTAGAATTTCGTAAAAATCTCAAAAGTAAGTGTACAGTATTTTCTGCATTTTCTAACTTTGATCATGAGTAGCTCCTCCTGCCTGTTGATTTTGTGAGAAGCTAATTCATAAATATATTATGGTTATTTTTAACAAAATCTAAATTTTCGGAAAACCATCATCTTGTATTGTAATGCTTCTGAAAATCCAAGTTAATACAAAGAGGTAATCCCACTTTTGTAAGAACTGTTTACATGTGCTAATGCGGTGGCGAGCCTTGATGCTACGAGCGACTTTTCTAATACATATTTATGTAGTTTACAGCACATTCTCGACTTATTGTCAGAACAGCGCCACATTGAACAGAATTGCGATGGGAGAATTATGTCTTAACCATTCCCGAGAGAAAATATTTGTATAACGAAATTGTTAAACGATGTAGAATCAAAGGACATAATATTTCAAAGAAGCGAACCTTTCATGTATTCCAAGGAAGCGGAATAACCCGCAGAGTAATACATTTAGGAGAGCATCAAAATCACACCCCGGATCACTACAGAACGTTTAGAGCTCTGAAACCACACCACAAGTTAATCTGGAGCATATAGGACAGCAACAAGCTCCGAAAATGCACCTCAACTTAACCCAAAACTTTTAGGACAAAAAAAGAACTTTGAAACCACACCGCTAGTCCAACGTTTAGGACAGCAACGAGCTCTGAAACCACACCCCAAGTAAGTTCGGAACGTTTAGGAAAACAAAGAGCTCTGAAAATATACCCCATGTCAATCTGGAACGTTTTGGACAGCAATGAACTCCGAAACCACACCCCAAGCTAATGCGGAAGGTTTAAAACAGCAAGAACTTTGAAATCACACCCTAAGTCAATCCAGATAGATAAAGATAGCAATGACCTTCCAAATTACACCCCAACTCATTCCAGAACATTCAGAGCAACACCAAGTTAATCTGGAGCAGGACCTCATTCTGTAAATGTTACGCAATTGTCATGAAACTGGACATATCCCCTGGCAACGTTAACAAGATAATAAACAAGATTTTGTTGTTAAAGAATGCTCACAAGCTAAAACTTCATAAGCTTTCAGAATCACTTTAAAATCAACAGTTGCTTTTGTGAGAAAAATAATCGAAGAAACTGATCACATTCGAATATATTCCTGTTACCCCCCACCCCTCTTTTTCTTGTTCCCAAGAAACAGTTTCGATGATTTTTTTTTCTTTAATCTGCTTAAACATGCAGTGGAGAGCCAGTGGAAAGTTATAAAATGTATTGTCTAAGATGAACCTCGTCATTTTTTGCAGAAGCTCATTAAAATGAAAACTTTAGTGTTAGGCAATAGTGCGTAATTATGGTTATCACAATGAGTAAGGCAGCACGTTCTGGTTAAGTACTATTAATACTCTATAATGGTTCTAGTCAACGTGTCACAGTACGTGCAGTACACGTTTATGTTTGAACTGTAGGTAGTACTTTACAATAAGTTCAAAAGATAACTGGTACAGCCTACAGCTATATTCATTACTTAAAACAGCCTATATTCTGTACAATTTATCATAATCAGTACACTCTATATGTAGGGATGGCCAAGGTACATGCTAAAAAATCAACAATGACAGAGAGTTTTACTTTAAAAGGTGATTGCCACTCACTTTCATTTGTTTCTTTACACTGCAAAGCCCAAAAAACAAGGCAAGAAACCATCGCTATGATACCAAACCAGAAAGTGACCAACCCACCAAATTGTTCATCTTCTTCTTGTTTCAATCGAGATAATTCTACAACTACCTTATCACTAATATCAGTTTAAACCTAAATCTACTCTGTGTTTCTGAGCAGTGCACGATGTCATCGCTTAGTTGTAATAACTGGTAGTCATTTAATAAAAATCATAATTCTAATGTAAACAATGTTATCATTACCCCTTGAAGTTAGAAGAGTGAAACAGGAATTACTAGCCAATGTAAAGTAAAAGAGACGTACAGAAAAAGAATAATAGAAAAAAACAGTAAATGGGCATTTCGTTTCGTACATTTGGTAATATGGAAAACACGAAACATAGTACTATACAACTTATCAGCAGTCAAACATATACACAACCCAGTTAATATTAGGGTGAAACATATAGAATTATACTAAACAATATATTTTTTATTGAGTAAGTTTAGTGATGGTAGGCCTACTCTGAGTACTAACTTAGAAACAAAGTTCTGCCAAAGCGAGCTTTATTTCATTAAAAATAGCTTTGTGTTATTTTTAAGGTGCTGATTGAATACGGAATAACATGCTTTCATACATTGACTTTCTGAATCAAAAAGTTTTTTGCTGAAGAAGTAAATACATTGTTCATATCATATTCTAAATGACTATTCCAACTTTTGAAACCTTTTTTTTATGTTTTTTCTAGTAACAAAACGGGTTCTGCTTCTAATCTTGGAGGATTAGTAAATGATGTATTGTCCAGTAAACCATCTGGGTCTAGAGGATCCACTCCTCCCACACCAGGTAAATTCAGGATTTTGACAATCCAATATTTTACAAGATTTCAATCTCTCACCATTCATGTATCCAGTGAGTTCAATATCTCCTAATACATTCTTTACACTGTAACAAGTTCAGAATTTAACTGATCCACATTTACAAATCACATAAGTTCAGGATGTAGAGAATCCACACTCTATACACTAGATAATTTTCAAGGTATTGTTACGACAGCGAAAGTCACGTGACCCTGGTAACACGTCAAGA